ATGCAAATATAGAGACAATTAAAAAACTTCTTCCTCCTCATAATGTCAAATCATTGCAGAGGTTTTTAGGTTCGATTAATGTTTATCATCGTTTTATTCAAAATTACGTGAAGTTAAGATTGCCGTTAAAATTACTTAAAAAAGATGCTAAGTTTGTTTGGTCTGAAGACTGTCAAAAATCATTCGAAGAGTTAAAAATCGCGTTAATTTCCAAACCAGTTTTATGTCTTTTCAACCGCAAAGAAAATGTCATTTGTATGTAGATGCTTCTGGTGAGGCTATACGTGCAGTCCTTAAACAAGAGCACCCGGATGGAACACAACATCCAATATCATTCCATTCGAGGCAATTAAGAACTTATGAGAAAAATTATTCAATTACTGAATTAGAATGTTGAGCAATAGTAGATGCTCTTGATAAATATCAACATTATCTTCATGGAACACCTTTCACTCTACATACAGACCACGCAGCACTAGTTTGATTGAGAAATGTGAAACATCTGACAGGTTATTTAGATGGTCTTTAAAGTCATCAATGTATGAATATGAGATAAAATATAAAAAAGGAAGTACTAATTATGAGGCAGATCTGCTCTCCAGAAATGACATTTCTCACCATAATTGCTATTCAGCACATTTAATTCAAAAAGAAAAATTAATTGAACATCCAAGGCTTGATATAATCCTAACTTTAAGAAAATTAATGATGTTTTAACTTTAAGTAAAAAGGTTGTAATTAAAATTGTAGTCCCCTTCTCCTTAAGAGAAGAATTAATTTCAAAAGTACATGAAGATGGTCACCCAGGTGTAAAGAAAATGTTAAGCATTATTTCCTCATACTATTATTGGTCAGATATTATTAAGGACATTAGTAATTATGTTAAGCACTGTGAAACTTGTCAGTTGAATAAGATCTCACACTTGAAAAAATACGGTTTGCTACAGTCAATGCCACCCTGCAAAGAACCTTTTGAGTTAATATTACTGGATTCTGTAGGTGGTTTTAACTATTATAACTCTTCTAAAAATATTTGAACATTGTAATTGATCATTGTACCAGATATATCTGGGCTTTTTATAGCAAAAATATTACATCAGAAGTGTACTCGAATTTGTTGAAGCCTTTATTTACATCCTATGCCCCAAAGGCTTTATTAACTAATTGGAACCCAACCTTTACTTCTAGTCGATTTAAGAAATTTTTGAGAAACCATAATGTTAAACAGTTGTTGACAACTAGTCACCATCCACAATGTACTGGAAAATCAGAAAGGGTAGGACAATCAATAATTACTAGATTAAAATGTAAAGTAAATAACTTTTCTAAAAAAGTTCCTTGGACTAAATTTCTTGAACAGGTTGTGTCAGGATATAATAATACTCCTCATGCTGTTACAACTTTTCCACCTGCTTATTTAATGTTTGGCTCCTTGCCTTGTGATTCCCCTATTAATCAACCTTCATACCCCCCAGAAGAAAAAGCCAGAGAAATAGCTTTGGAGAAAACCAAGGAACGTCATTTGAAAAATAAACTTAGATATGATTTAAAATTTAAAAATGCAGATTTTAAAGAAGGAGATTTGGTAATAATGGAAGAATATAAATACCCTAACACTAGAAAATTAACTTCTCCTTATTCAGGCCCTTACACAATATTAAGGAAACTTTCTAATGTAAACTTTGAGATAGATAAATATACTAATCAAACTGAAATCGTTCACTCTTCCAAATTAAGATATTTTTATCCAGCTGAAGAATTTCATTTAACACCAGAAAGTGAAAATTAAGAGTACATTTTATGAAAATTTTAATCAATTTCTGTTGTGATATTTTTGCAATATTATTATAAGGAAAATTTGAATTTTGTAATTTATTAAAAATGATACTGAATTGTTATCACTAATATTAATAAGAAGAATTATTCAAGGAAAAACTATGAATTTTGTTATACATTACGAATAATTTGAACTGTCGTAAATATTGATGATGATGAGAAGAAATATTACCCCTTTTCTGGAAGATCCGACCCTTAATTTGTGAAAACCAGCGTAGTGTTTACCCATACCTGAGATAACAGGTTATGCGTGTGAAGCTTTATTTTTTCTTCTTTGTTTTTGTGGAAATATTAAACCACAAATGCATATAATTGATGATGACACACTTAAGGTTGCCAGGATCTTCCATAACAATGATTGCTGTGATTCGGAGCTGTTCTCCTCCTCTTGAGGAACTGAGACTCTTATCAAGCAAATTCTCCTTAAAAATATTGGAATCCTAAATTCCAAATTAAAGACACAAATGTGTCTAGTCTAATGTGAAGTTGAATGATGTGAAGTGGAATTTATGTCTTGAATTGTATTTTTCCTTACCTTATATTTTGATGTTTGTATTTTATAAAGGTGTCTATAGGGGAGAGTGGGGTCAATTGTAACAGGGTACGATTGTAACAGAGCAAAAATTTCGAGTGTCGGGTTATAGATTTGGTTCCTAGGTGGCGCACAAGGTGTATTTAATAAATCTACATGTACACCCCTGATGGCAACCATTTTTATGTACTTTTGAAAGAGTTACATCACAAAAGATATTTTCACGCCACGCAAGTACTTTTTTTGGTATTAGAATATTATATTGTAACAAAGTAATTTTGTTTAAACAAATAAAAATTAGTAACCGAATATGTAAGTGGACACTTTAATTAACATTTCAATAAAAAAAAAATTAGTTTTGCTAATTAACTAGCATTGTTTTTAACAAATGAAGCTGAAATGGCGTCTTGGGGACAATTGTAACAATAAGTAAAGGGACGATTGTAACAGCTGAAAATAAATAATCTTATGTTTACAAACCATTACTTAACTCTTTAAGAACCACCAATAGTTTCCTATATCATTTATATTATGTTGCATGTGCATTATTTTATTTGTCACCTTTCACAGCATAAATTAAAATTTTTAACCCCTTAAAGTTAAAAGTTTAACCCTTTAGGTCTCTGCTCATTATTATTTTTACTCCTAAAATATCACTACTATTTTGATCAATAAAAATATATATCACAACTATGATAATATGTATAATTAACTATGTTTTAGTTGAATTTATAAACTGCTACAATTGTAAGTGGGGACAATTGTAACAAGTGCACGACTGTCAAAAATTGTTAAGAACTAACATAATAGCATTTAAAATAAGGTATTTTTTTTTCTAGTAGAGGATAATCTACTTTACTCGTCTGTCAATTAATACTAATAATATATTGGATTTTTTGTTAGCTAAAAATAGCTAGGTAAAAAATGTTACAATTGACCCCACTCTCCCCTACTTATTAAGGTTATGGTGACATGTAGTCACAAAGAATGAGAAGTGGCAACGATGCCAAAAATGTTTAAGAAAATGAGTACTAAAAATGAATATTGTTAGTGAAAATGAGTACTAAAAAATGAATATTGGATGTGGAAAGAGTACTAAAATTGATTATTTTGTGAAAATAAGAAAAGTTGTTGTAAGGTATCTACTAGAAAGAATAGTGATTACTGAGATTAAGTAGTGTATTTGAGATTTATAGAAATAAAGAGGAGAGTTAGTTTTTCACTTGAAGTATTTTGATGAGTTAGTGAAAGAGAATATTTTGGATAACTATTTTAAAGTGTAACAGAAGAGAGAAAATTTATGAGTATTTTAAAGTTGTAAGATGTAAGAATATAAAATTTGAGAGATTTTTGTAAGTGATTTAGGATAATGATGAAGTTTTATAAGCATGCTAATGGGTCCTTAATCAAGTAATTAATGTCACGAGGACTTAAGCCTACGTAGCAAATTATTTAAGGCCAATTGTTTAGTTGCAACTATATTTTTATTTTTATAGTAGATGTTATTTTAGCATCTTAAGAAGTAGACTATTGAGTGTTTTTATAAATGTTTTTATATAATCTATTTCGAAATTTTGAGAGTTAGTATGAAACCATCGCAATTGAGGTAGTTTCAAATGTTTTGTTAACATAAGATTTGAATATTCTTTTCATTTTTTAAATTGTTTTTGTAATTCAGATCATGTGATCTTAATCATCCAGATTAATATTCATTTTAAATAGTTTAAATAGAAGATGGTAAGTAAGGATTTTGATCTTTCCTCAATGAGATGTGATGTGGAGCCTGATCATCTCCGGGTCAGCACCTTTGAGAGGGGGGATATTGCAATATCTGAAATACTAGCTTAATAAAATTAAAAGGATCTTTTGAGACTAAACTTAAAAAGAATTATATCTTATCTGCAGATAAGCTTATCTGGTTTCTGAGAACACTAAATTTCTCTTTCACGTACTTAACTTAGCCCTTCGCGTATATAGTAAGTTCCGCTGAATAGCGATGAAATGTTTATTTGTAAAATGAATCCACACCACGCAGTAAAATATCGTAACGAAGCCGAATTCCCATTAAAATCAAGACTATGTTGAGATATTAGTTCATCGCCATCTGGCTTTCAGATCTTACGGCGCGCCGCTTCTAACAAAGAAGATATAAACAAAAGAGGTCTGGATGGATTTTATAGATCACATGACATGAGCATATGTTACGTTGAAAAAGTGTACACTTATCTTTTGGAAATGGAAGTATAAAGATGTGCCAGGGAGCTCTGCTCCAGTTGTATATAAATTGTAAATAGATTTCTTTATTCTTTTCTCAATAAAAGCATAGAAAATTCATTATGTTGTCATCCTTATAGAAAAGGATATTAAAAATA